CTGCCCCCGCACTGAAAACAAGTGTAGCACCCTCTAGTATGTCGCTACCAAAGCTGTTTTGTTCTGAGTTCTGCACTCTACAGGTGTCCCTGAGTGTGCTGGATTGATTGCTTCCCCCTGTTGCTGGGTTGTGGACTCTGCATACAGTGGGGGAGGATCCATCCCTGAGCAGGATGACTGAAGTATGGCTGAAGGCAGGTGATAAAAGGTTTGGGGACACTGTGCAGAGCTCTCTCCCCTGGGACCCTCCCATGGGTGGAGGCCTGTGTGATGCGAGTGACTGGCCTGGCCCTCAGCACGTGGCAGGTGCTGGGGGCCTAGAGGCCTAGGATACTAGAGGCTTTGCTTGGGCCTCAGCACATGACAGGTGTTGGGGGCCTAGAGCCCTAGGATACTAGAGGCTTTGCTTAGGCCTTGGCGGGTGTTGGGCCTAGAAGCAGAAGATTCTACTGGATATCTGGGATGCACCTCAGCATGTGGCAGGTGCTGGGGGCCCAGAGACTTCAGATGGTGCTGAAAGGAGACCTGATGGAAGCTGGGCTGGAGGTGGAATTTGCTTATCGAGGAGCTAGTGGGAGGTGCCGTCCGGAACCCTGTAAGAGATCCCTCACCCTATCCCCAGGGGGTTTACTGAAGAGCAGCCAGTTGTTGCCTTAGAAGTCCAGGGATAGTCCTCTCACCAGGTCCTGGACAGTCCTGGCTGTTCTCGGTGCTACTGTATATTGCTGATCGCTCTTACAGGACCACTGCTACCAATTCTAGCCGTTGCTACGGGAGAAGACTGAGTCCTCCTGAATTAGTACCCGGGTATCCTACAAATCCCAAACCCTCTCTCCAGTTTGATCCTGTGCAAATAAATACTGAAAAGACCCCACGACTCGAGGCAAAAATATCCATTGTATGGATTCCATGGTGATGGGTCACTCTCCATAGCCGTTGTATGGAATTGTGACGGACCACCTGGTACCTCCTGCGTCCTCTCCGCTGGAACCCGAATCCTAGCGTCAGTCCAAACCTGCCTAATTATTGGACGGAACGAATAAAACCCAATCAAACAAACAATCTCCCCCCCCCCCCCCCCCCCCCCCCCCCAAAAAAGCGACGGAGAA